GATTGGGTGCTTTCTGTTGTCCTGTCTTCTAGGTCACTTGTTCGTTCCTCTGCATTATCTAGCCTGCTTTGTACAACCTTTAGGTCAGCTCTCCTCTCAGCCAGTGAGTTTACCAGTTCTACTTGGTTCTTTATAGCTTCTATTTCATTTTTGACATATTTTATATCTCTAAACACTATTTCTTTTAGTTCCTTTTTTGAAATCTTGATCTAGTAGGCCATCAATGTCTATTTCCTTGATCACGCTTTCAGGGGATTTCTCTTGATCTTTTAGTTGGGAGTGGTTCCTCTGCTTCTTCATATTGCTCATACCTCTCTGGCACTGTGGCTTAAGGAGTATCAGTTATTTAGTTCTCCTGGAGACTGTGTGCTTTAAATGATTTTATTGAGAGGTCTTTGTGTCTTCGCCCTGTTTCGTGAACTCAGCTTGCTGTTTCCAGAGGCCCTCCGTTGGCTCCCTCGTCTGTGCTGCTCCCAGTGGCCGTCAGCTAGCAGGTCACGCACCCTCCCAACACTGGGTCAGGTGCTGAGCTCTTACCAGGTGGGCAGGCGGGTCATTCCCCTTGCCGATGCCACAGTCAGACCTGCACTTATGCAAGGCAGGTGGGCGGATTGTGCCCTCTCCCAGCACCGTGGTCAGGTGCTGCATTCCTGCTGGAAAGTGGGTGGCCGTCCACCCTCTCCGGGCACCAGTCACTCCGCTGCTCTGTGCAGCTGCCTGCTCCACCTCAGGCCGGTGCTCCATAGGCGGGCTCCAGGAAGACCATGGAACAGCCCCGCCCCTGCTCCGTGCCGAATCTCAGCTCCTTGTTTGCCTTGGTGGTGTAAGTTCTCTGAGGTGCCAGGGCAGAAAGATCCTATCTGCCTTGGGCTGTAAACAAGTCTCAGTCCTGCCTAGGAGGTTACAGAGCCCCAGGTGCAGATTCAGGTCTCGGCCCCACCCCAGCCCGGGCACTGTGCACAGGAGGAGATGGCGGCTGTGGCTGCGCCCCACCTCTCTTCTCCCGAGAAGTGCCAGTAATGGTTGCGCAGGTCTGAGGAAACAAAGGCTATGGTACCCCCCCTCCAGGACACACCAGTGGTGTTGTTTTGCTTTTTTCACAATTTATGGGGGACCAAGGTTGTTGTACTCCGTATCCCCTCCCAGCCATGGCATGCGTCCCCACGCAGTCCCCTGGGGCTGCCTCAGTGCAGCTGCCCCAGACCTCTGCCCGACTTGGGCGGTCTGTCCTGGCCCCAGCTGCTGGCTCGCGTCTTGGACTGGGTGTTGCAGGGACTGTTCATGCCCGTTTAACTTAGTACTGTCAGTCAAGGGGTGCTCGGGGCAGATCTGAGCCTCGAAGGCTCCCCCTCCGTCCTGTTGGGCTCTCCGTTGGAGGGCGGAGACCCAGGGAATGAGCACTATTCCTCCTTTACTGCTCCCTCCCCATGGGACCGATCCCGCACTGTTTTTCTTTTTCTTCTTTCTTTTTCCCTTGTCCTACCAGATTTTTGATGTCTTTGTCTTTCGAAGAGGGCGATGTTCTGTCGGAGTTCAGCAGGTGCTCTGGTTGGCTGAGTGGGTCCGTAGATGTGAGTTTTGGTGTATTTGTGGGAGAGGGTGAGCTACGAGCATCCTTCTACTCCACTATCTTGCTTCTCTTTCCTCAAACTATATACATTTAAATAAAAGTAATATATGTGTCTCAATAACATTTGCCGTAGTTAGGTAAAACTTGCACCCCCAGAATCAGCATGAGTTTTTTAACTAAAAGGTAAAAATGCTATAGTGTCTTTTTAAAAAATATTCTGTCCCCAGAATTAGTCCTTTGAGTTTTTTCAGGGGGGAGGGCACAAATAATATTTGTAAAATCAATAACTTATAAGTAACTTTATTAGTACTACATAAAAATTAATGCAATGAAACATATAATTGTGATTGATTTACATAATTAGCCAGGTGGAAGTTAATATGTTGATATTCATATTACCTGATATATTTTAATATCATTATATTTATTCTAAAAGATTAAAAAATAGGTAAGAATTTTGAAAGATATATATTAAGATATTTTGAAACATCATATTTTCACGAAGTCTTGATTACTAGATCCCATATTTAAAATACTAAGACCCTACAGTAAATAAATCCCAAAAACAGCAATATGATTTCTTGAACTGTTTAATCACCATGATACTGAGTATTTTAATCATCTAATATATATTCTTTGTATGTAAAATCATATTAATGCTTGGGAAAACATTTGAAATTAAACCACAAATTATTGTACTTACAAGAAAGCATGCCTAGATTATCACTCATAATTAAACCAAGTGAATATTTATGATATATATATGTGGCTCAGTTTTTTGCAGATCTTCAAAATCAATATTTTTAATCAGCTT